GCCTGGAGTGTGCCAAGACACGACACCCCCAAAAATAAGCAAGCAAGCAAGCAGACAACAACAAAACCCAGTAAAAATGGGTAGATTACAGTAGGATTTTTAATGAATGCAAAACCGCTGGCTGCTTCCTTATGATGACTTTCAATGAGCCCAAAGGTACACAGGAATTTTGGATGGGGAAAATCCCAGAGTTCTGAAACAGGTGTTCTGGTGTTCCAGGTACTTAGGCCCTCCACACTGGCCACACTTCTTTTCCAGATGAATTCAAAAAGGGACAGGACACTGTGACACTACACAGGTTAGGTGGGGGAAGGAAAGAAGGTGTGGCTTGGGGACACTTTACTGCCTTTCTATCCCCATAAAAACCAATCATTGTAGTTGATGTGTTTTGAAGGGCTATAAAATGCTTGTTAAATTTTAAAAAATTAAAATAACCATTGCCAAGCTATTCTTGCATCAAATGCGTGGCTGGTACCCATGAACAATATATTTACTTTCTCATTCATTCTTGCAGTGCTGTGGATCGAAGCCACTCTTGGGCATGCTAGGCAAGTGCGCTGCCCCTGAGCTTCCCCAGCTCCAACAATTTTTTTCTAAGTCATGGATGAAGTGCATTGTGTGCAAACAACGTGGACTGGGAAGCTGGGAGGACCCAGGGGACTCGGAAGGGATGCGAGCTCTCCAGGAGAGGCAGCCAGAACAGAGCCAGCGGAAGAATGAGCCCCGAGGCGTGTGTGACACGGCCCCAGCCATGTGTTCAGATGTCACAGGCCCTCCTTGCTTTTCCTTCATCTCCTCCTCCCACTCCCTCCTGGAATTCACATGGCCTAGGCTGAAATCCCGGCTCTACTGTTTTACCAGCCATGTGGCCTCAGGCCAGGAACCTATCTGTCCATACCTCAGTTTCCTCATCTATAAAGCAGAGATCACCACAGTACCTTCCATATTAAATGCTCAGTTGTAGCTGTGTTCATGTTTACCTTCTCTAAATAAATTCATAATAAGGAAACTGTCCAATAAATTAACCTTGGATAAGCTGATCCCAAGAAATTCAATATCTTACCAGAAATCTGTTCAAATGTCCATAAACCTGTCACAAAAAAGCCCTCCCCAGTGCATGATGGTAGAATTTATGGCAGCTACAGAATAAGGCAGGAATTTCAAAGCCTAGAAAATTTTTGTTACTGTGTCACACATGAATATATGGAGAGATAGGTTTCCATGGCTCTCCTTGGATTTTTAAAAATTATTATAGTACAAAATGTGTTTGTTGTAATATGTTATGATTAATTGACTTAATATTGTCTTTGGGAACCTACCGAGGAAGAGCTAGTGATCAAGTCTAGTTGATGTCATTTCTGTGGAAAAAGCAAATGACTTAAATCAGCACGCAGGAGCAGAGAAGGGGTGCAAGGCAGGTTGCTGAACTGCTGAGCCTTGGGTTAAAAAGCAAGGCCAGGAAAGAGGGGACCTGCTAGCTAAGAGGCCATTAGAAAGCTCCTGAGTCAGCTGGGACCAAACCACAGGACCGGTTCCTGTTGTCTCCCTATGTTCCTGCTCAAACAGCATATGTAGTTTGGCAGAGATGGAAAAAGAAGAATATATGCTCCTAAACCTGAGATAACAGCAAAAGTAACAGTCTCTCTTGATGGACGTACAGACAGCTCCATGGAGTCATACCGACATAACAGCCAGGAGGAAACAGCTAAACACAAAGTAATCCAGCAGAGCAATGGATCTTAGGACCTCTGCAGAGTGCTATTCAGCCTGGAAATGATTATCCTCCTGCTCTCCCGCCTCCCACGAGAGAGAAGGCCCCAGGTGCTTCCACGGAGTTCACTGGAGGTGCCTGAGATCTCTTGCTGCTGGTCTTAGACAGACTTGGAGCAGTAAGTTAGCAAAGGCAGCTGTTAGAGCCCTAAGAATCCAGTAGACGAAGGCCTAAGTTCTCAGCAATTGTAGCGTGAGACACTTGGAGACTCTGCAGATAGACTGAAACAAGAAGGGGCCATTTTGGTCAATGATGATGGAAGGAAGGGGAGGGATGCGGAAGAGGTTACAGAATGATCAGGTGCTGGAGAAAGAACAGGAAGGAGACTGAGGCATTTCCTGGGTGACATTACACTGGAGAGCCACCTAGCTGCCCATGGGGTGGACCTGGGTAATGCCTCGACTTGTCTATCTCAGGTGTGCTTAGGAGCAGGTGTGAGTGTGTGTGGAGGGGTCTGAATCCAGTCAGGTGTCCATGCACCAGGTCACATTGATTGGAAGTGCCTGCTTGGAGCAATGGTTGGTAAGGAATTAAAGTCTGAGTCCAGACTCTAAAAATAGCATGGCGACCTTTGTTGGCTATAAAATGAAAGCCCACCTTGGATGTGGAGGGGAGGGATGAAACCTAGGTCCCAACTGGTAGGTAAATTCTAGCTATGTCTTTGCTCTGTGTGTAGTCATTTTCAGTGACTGAATGTACTGTCATTCTCAGAAATCTTTTTTGTTCTCATTGAAAAGCTCTAAGTCCAAGAAAACATTTAAGGTATTGTTTGACATTGTCAAACAAGGTAGATCCTTGTTTTCAAGGTAGATCCTTGAAAACAACGCCAGGCCCAAGAATGTCCCATAAGTACCCATAAGTACCATCCAAACAAGGCTGGTTTCTGAGTGTGAGTGTGCCACAAGCTGAGGAAGGAAATCACTTCCCTCAGGGCTCCAGGACCACTTACCACGCCAAGCAGAGAGCACAAGCAGCCTGTGAAACACTAGCGAGAGAAACAGCAAATTCCTTCCCAGAGGCCCTTCTTGCAGCCGTCATCTCTTTCAGATTCAGGAATGTTTGGTGGCATCTCAGGTGAGCAGGGAAAGGGTCCTTAAGTTAAAGATGGGAAAGGAAGGGAGGCTGTCCTCATTCAGATTGTCAGGCAGGTTGTGGGCTGTGTAGGAAGGCAGAGCCTCACCTGGAGTGAAGCAAGGCAAACCCAGGTGTGGACTCCGTCCACACCAGCTGCCTGGCCTGGGGGTTGTGCACTCTCATTGCTGGTTGCCTGACTGATATTTAATCAAATGTCCCATTGTCATCATTATTGCCTAGGTGTTTCAGAAGCTGAACATGTATTTTGTAACTGGTTCTGAGTAACACTAAAGGGCTGGGGAAGTGGCTCAAGTGGTAGAGTGCCTGCCTAGCAATTATGAGGCCCTGAGTTCAAACCCCAGTGCCACAAAAAAAAAAAAAAAAAGACCACTGAGTAACACTAAATACAACACTCAGGCTCAGGAGGCTGAGGCAGGAAGCTCTCTTGAGTCCAGGCGTTCAAGCCCAGCCTGGACAGTATAGTGAGAACCTGGTTTTAAAAGAATAACAAACAAGAACAACAAACCAATAGAGCCACTGTCAGTAGTAGGTACTCGTAGCTTTTCAGCTAGATGTCAGCAATGTGCCCAGGCATCCCGCTCAGCACATCCCTGTGTTCTCTTATTAAGCTTCACAAAGTAACAGTAATGTTAAGCACACATAGAGCTCCACGTGTGCACCGTACAAATGCTCACTTGTGCAGTGCTCACAATGGGGTGGACACAGTTTTCATAATGAAGAAACTGGAGTAGAGTGGTAAAAAAGACAGCCAGCGTCACTCACAGCAGGAGGTGGCAGAACCACCATAGGAATTCCCTTGACACTCTGACCTGGGCCTCTCAGGACTGCTGGCTGGAAGGGGAGGGAACAGAGATACAGAGAGGCAGACACATTGCCCAAAGTCACAGAGCTAGATGCAAGTCAGAATCTACCTCCCTAGATTGAGTCCTACCCATTTTCCTGTACAGACGTAAGTTGGACCAGAAACAGGTTCTCTTTCATCAACTTTGGCCACGTGAGGCTGTGCAATACTGCCTTAAGAATTTGGGGAAAGCCCTCTTTGCCTAATTGACATGCTCAGTTTTCAGACCATACGAAGGCCTGCCTAGGACAAGACGCCTGAACCCTCAAAGTAAGTGCAGCACCATCTTACTTGACACCATCCTCTCACAGAGGAGTGCTAGGATGGGGGACGTGGGTGCCAAGGCTTCTGCACAGATGTGTCTCTGCCTGCATTCCAGAGCCAAGCACATGGACGGCCCCATTTTCTTCACACCTCTCCTCTCATGTGCCAAGGGGGCTACAAGGGGGGTTGTGGCAGCAAGTACACTTCTTCACCTATTTTTCCTTCTCAAAACTCAAATCCCATCGTTTCTCAGAGGGGGACCAAACACCTCACGTTGACTATGGAAGCAAACTCAATGAATTCAAGTCAGAAAACAATAGGCCATGAAGAGCATAAATTTAAGAGCAATACCTTGGTGCCAAAGCCACTATGAAGTCTTGACGTGTTGAAGAAACTGTACTCTTGCATCCCCCAGCCAACTTCACCAACGTACTCATTTTTATACCTTGCTGGCAAGCTTGCGTGTGAGGCAGGCCTCCATAAGTATCTGAGATCTCCAGTCTTTTCTAACACTGGACGCTTTTCTCCTATGTACCAGGTGTGCTGATGAATTTTCGGTAAGTGATCCTTTATATAATCTGGACCTGGAAAAGACAAACCAAAAACACTTCAAAAATTCCCCACACTTTATTCCAGGATGCTTTTATTTGAATTGTAGAAATAATGATAGGTGATGCTTATATGATACAGCTCTTGCTGTGTTCTTATGTGCTTAACCAAAAATGATAGAATTATATTCCCCAGTTTAAGATGGGGAAAATGAGGCACATAAGGACTGGTTACCCTTCCAGAGTCACAGCTGATAAGATCTTTGTACCCAGGCAGGCTATTTCAAAGGTAGACTTTTTTTTTTGCAGTACTGAGGTTTGAACTCAGGGCATATACCTTGAACCACTCCACCAGCCCTTTTTTGTGATGGTATTTCTTTTTAAAGTTCCTAAGAATTTATTATCACAACTAGAAACAAAGCTTCAGTTGTGCATAAAGTAATAAACCTTCACAATGGCTGTAGGAGAAAGTGGCAATGAACATTTGCACGCGTTACTGAAGGCAAAGAGTAAGCAAATGCGAACTCCAGTTGGAATGTCGATTATGTTCATGCTGCTTCCTTTTGAATTAAACAGTCATGACGCATTGAATGAAATCATCATATGAGAAATTCACAACACCTTGCTGACCAGTATCCCGTCTTCGAAAGCTATCTGTGAGAACCCTCAGTTCCCGTCTTCGAAAGCTATCTGTGAGAGCCCTCAGTTTGACACAGCAGGCGATGTAGTCATCGAAGGTGATCTTGCCACTGGTACTATATTGTTTTGCAACTGAATTCACAGTTTGGGGACTCAGTCTAAATCCCATCGTTGTCAGGGCCTTCTGCAATTCTTGAGAATCCACTGTTCCACTCCTATCGCTGTCGAAACTGATGAAGTGTTGTCTCCAGCCATTCAGAACAGTCCAGAGTTCTTTAAACTCATTGAACCCCAATGTGCCAGACATATCTCTATCCACCATGGAAACCATCAGCCAACAAGTCTCCAGGTTAAAAGGTTTGTATCCTCCAGCAATGCCTGACTGGGTAAGGCATCTCTGTAATTCATCAGCATCTATTTGTCCATCCTGTCCAGCTACAGCAGAGAAGTAACCATAGAGTGGATCCTGAGTTTGTCCAGGAAACTTAGGCCCTCCGGTGCCCCTCTGTACCCACCCGGGTAGTACCCGCTGCCAGCGCCAGGGTGCCCCGGGTACACCATGGTGCAGACTGTGCCGCACCCTGCTTTGCGCTCTGCCTCCGCGGCTCGCCATTGGGCCACCAGGGTGTGATGGTATTTTTTTAAGATAGAGTCTCACACTATTGCCTGCAGCTGGCTTCGAACCGGGATCCTCCTGATCTCTGCCTCCTGAGTAGCTAGGATTACAGATGTGAGCCACTGGTGCCCAGTGAATGTAGACTTTTAATGACCGCACTAAACTGCTTTTCCATCCCTCATCCATGCCACATTCGGATTGCATGATGCAATCTGAAATGAGACTCAGAACTCTCCCAATGTGTAGAAGCAGTTGGAAAATTGAGATTATTGATAGATGAGAACATTGTTACATGGTATTTCGAATGTAAAACAATGAACAAAAATAATCAATGAAATGCAGAACTCAGAGGTTCTGAGAAAAGATCACTTAAAAATGAACTTTGGGCTGGGTGCTGGTGGCTCACACCTATAATCCTAGCTACTGAGAAGGCAGAAATCAGGAGGACAATAGTTTGAGGCCAGTCTCAAAACATATACTCAACACAAAAAAGGGCTGGCAGAGTGGCTCAAGTGGTTGAGCACCTGCCTGGCAAGTGTGAGGTCCTGAGTTCAACTGCCAAATAAATAAATTAAACAAATTTGGCCTGGTGACAGTGGCTCACACCTATAATCCTAGCTACTTGGGAAGCTGAGATTGGGAGGATCTTGGTTTAAGGCCAGCCTGGGGAAAAATGCTCTAGGAGACCCCATCTCAACCAATAGCTGGCTGACGTGGCACACACCAGCAAAGGTGGGAAGTGTAAAATAAGAGAATCATAGTCTAGGCAGGTCTGGGCAAAAATCGAGACCCTATCTCCAAAATTACCAGAGCAAAAAGGAAGCTGAGATAGGGAGGATCTTGGTTCAAGGCCAGCCTGGGGAAAAATGCTCTAGGAGACCCCATCTCAACCAATAGCTGGCTGACGTGGCACACACCAGTGAAGGTGGGAAGTGTAAAATAAGAGAATCATAGTCTAGGCAGGTCTGGGCAAAAATCGAGACCCTATCTCCAAAATTACCAGAGCAAAAAGGGCTGGAGGTGTAGATCAAGCCTGGGCATCTGCCTAGCAAATGTGAAGCCCCAGGTTCTA